CTGGAATGCAAAGTGTGGATAATGCTTCCCATTCTGCTGCGCCACTAAATGCTGTACTTCTTTGAGTTCTGCCGACTCTCTTTGTATAACAGAAACGATGAACAGTAATATTTTTTGGTAAAAAGTGGCCCGTGTTCAGATATTACGGTCTTTTCATCTGTTACTTTTAGGGACGCTCTGTGAACATTGTTCGCAATGTGGAAGTTCAAGCGGTAACCGATGTCGAGAATGGGTTGAAATTGTCCTTAAGCAATGGAACTGAGGTCCAGTGTGACTTTGTAATATGGGCTACTGGCGTTGTTCCAGCTACGAGCATATGGACGGATAACTGCGATGAAGTGAGTCGATCCAGGAAGTAACTGTTGCCAAAAACCAAAATGGAGCTCTGGTTTGAATAATCGTAAACATCCCAGGAGTGCTGAGTTATGGGCAAAAGCCAGAATTCAGACGGGACTCGCATACTCAAAAAAGCCGTTGAGCTGAGAAGGTAAGAGCGGCTCCGGTAGCGCAATTGGTCAACGCCCGGTTATCGGGGGATGCGGGTTTGAGTCCCGTCTGGGGTCTGACTCTCGGCCATAACTCACCACTCCCGTGATAACTTTCGGAGCGCCCACTGCGGCGTTGAACGGCATTTGTCGTACGGAAACAACTTCGATACACATTGCTGTTTTATAGAGGGATTCGGCTAACTTACTTTTTGGTGGTGTTCTCGGAGTTTATGAAAAATTACTTTAATTTTATGCATATGCTGCTCAGAATTGGTTCATAGACCAGTTTTGAGGAGCATATCCTTCACCTTCAGTTTCGTTGGGATGGACGACTTCTTTTCACTTTTTATTCAATGTTGGTGGCATATTTGAGAAAGCAGTGTCGGGATAACAGAAAAATCTCGGATAACCCACTTGTTTCATTCCGTTTTGTTCAAGTTTATTTTTTTAGCTGCAAATTTCTCATGCTGATGGAGGAATAGTTGTCGATGATGTGATGCGTACATCTATTCCTGACGTATACGCTTGCGGTGATGTATGCAGCATATCATTTAGTGAACCGTCACCGTTTTGGAAGCAGGTATGTCAGAAGCCAGAGTAT